CATCGAGGCACTGCTGGTTGGAGTCCACCTTGAGCTGGCGCGTATTGGTATCGTAGCGCCACCACTCGTTTGCACTCCAGCTCGGGGCGCCAGCGTACAATTTGCCGTAGTACTCGTAGATAGCATCGCCGCGAGCGGTCCACAAGCCAAAATCTGGCGCTGTGTCCGTTGACTCCTCGAGTGCGGTGGGCCGAGCCTGCGCGGGCACGGCCGCCTCGTCGAGCTCGGGTGTTGCCGTCGCATTGACCGGCGGTGCTGTCGTGTTGAGTGCGTGTGCAAGCGCGAGACTGAAATGTGAAGCAAGTACGATGCGCATCGTGGTCGGCAAAGGCAATTCCAAAATGATGCAGCGGCTCGTGAAGGTGGAGGTCTCATCGGCGCTATCGATGTGGCTCAAGGCCAATCAAATGCGAGGCACGTAGATGCTCGTCGATGGGATTGGTTCATTTTGGAATGTCGAGTTACATCCAGGGCCACAGCTGATAGCCACGGCTGATAGCCACGGCTGATAGCAGTGAGACACGTCTTCGTAACCCCCGCTAAATTATTACATCAGGTGCCGGATAAAGTGACTAGATAGTGTGAGGGGTTTGTGGCCTAAAGCGAAGGCCTAAACTTCGTCGAGCCGTACTTGGAGCTTACCAGACTGTACTTGGAACTTCGACACAAATCCACGGACCGTTGGCACATGTTGGTTTCGGCAGCGCGTCGAATCTTTGCTGGACTCGGACCCATTACAGCGGCTACCCGTGCCAAATGCACGTTTAAAACTGAGTGGATCGTTGGGATTGTTGCCCCGGATGTGGACACACTCGGCGCTGCGGTTACATGTACACTCTACACCCAATCCACACTTGGTACTCATACCGTATATCCATTATCTTCATTTTTACAACGAACGAGCGTTTGCACTGGACTAAAGAGCGCTTCCATGGAAAATAACGTCATACTTATTTCAAAACGAAGCGACGCTGTCTTAGTTTTCGAACCTCTGCGATTCGTAGGTAAACACTTGCAATTTGTTGGCGGGCGTTTTGCGCTCCCAGAGGTACGGTCTCGTACCAAACTCCATGTTGAAGTCCGTTGTCGACATATCGAGGCAAAAACCTGTGTGCGTCGCGTGGCGCAGCTGGCCGGTAGCCGGGTCGTAGCGCCATTTTTGGTTGCCGTTGTTAGAGTCGCAGGGCCACGTGTGCACGGTGCCACCGTTCCAGGGCTCGTACGCGTCCAAGCACTCGTTGCTGCTGAAGAATTGCAAGCGCCAACGCCACGTCAAGTCGACAGTGCTGACGATCCATTCAATCGGCTCGCCCCAGACGTCCACAAACCGCGCAATGCCTTGGTCGCTCGCGAGATACCGGCCATTGAACGCGCTGAGCTTGATCGCGTCTTCGGTGACCATGATGCGCTGGTTGGGCGCGTCGAGGTAGCAGGTCCACACCTGCACCTTGTTGTTCTGCGTCGGGTCGACATCGAGGCACAGGTTGGGGTGCGTCAAGTGTCGGATGCGCTGCCGAGCGCTGTCGATTGTCCAGTACTGATTGCGGTTGATGTCTTCGCAAGGATACACGTGGACGCGATACTCCCCGGACGCGCTGTCCTTGTACGCATCAAGGCACTGGTTGTTGGAGCTCACGATGATCTGATGCGTTTCCGTGCGGTAGCGCCACTCCTCGTTCAAACTGTTGCTCGCGGCACCAGCGTACAAGTTGCCGTAGTACTCGTAGATCACAGCGCCGCCCGTCGTCATCAAGCCGAACGGCAACGTGGTGAGCTCTGGAA